ATCACCTCTCCTTCAAGTGTAGGTACAGTAGCACTATTTGGGATTTCATTCTAAGATGTGGCTGGTTTCTACATTAAGCCTAATAATTGGGAAAAACTTATTGCTTGGTGCTCATGCACATGGACTTCAGGTCAGTTCTTTATACACAAGTTATTACTATATATTGTTGTCTACAAGTTATTACTATATTTTTAGGAACATATCAGCCTCCCCCTAGCATACTATTTGCTGAATTCTCTTTTGCACACATTGGCAGACTTGCTTTCCCTGGATTAGAAGACTTCGGTTTTTGTTTTGGTTGTTAGTTGTATATCTTTTGTTGTTCCCCTTGGGCTAGTTGTATCCTTAAAGGACTTCTTGTAGATTCTTATTTTCATTTATTAAAGCTCACCATTCAACTAAAAATACAGTAGCTTACATATACCTCCGCTTTATATTGATCTATTTTGTTTTGTTATTTAAGTCTAAAAATATTAAATGCATGTGTGTGTATAGACACAAAAAAAGTTTCAAACAAATTATATAGAGAATTTCTAAATTTTTTTATTTCGTTAAGAATTTTATTATTATTTTATTATTTAGAGTAATATATCATTTCACGTATGAAAAATTAAACAATATCTCCGCTTTATTAAAGCTCACCATTCAACTAAAAATACAGTAGCTTACATATACCTCCGCTTCATATTGATCTATTTTGTTTTGTTATTTAAGTCTAAAAATATTATATGCATGTGTGTGTATAGACACAAAAAAAGTTTCAAACAAATTATATAGACACTTTCTAAATTTTTTTATTTTGTTAAGAATTTTATTATTTTTTTATTAATTAGAGTAATCATTTCACGTATGAAAAATTAAACAATATCTCTTTCAGAATCTAAAATTAATCTAAGGTCATACTTTATTTAAATAAAAAATACACTATAATTTTTTTATTTTAATTATTACTAATTTTATTTATTTTCTAACACAAAAAGTATAAGATTTTTATAGCTAACACATTTTCTAATGCTTATGAAACTACTTTTTTATTAGGGTGAACTGCAAAAAAACCCCTTAACTATTAGTCAATTGCAAAAAATCCCCATTAAGAATGTTTTTGACAAAAAAAAAAACCCTCTCAACTATCTTGAGGGGTATTCTAATTTCTAACCATGGCCATTTAATAAATTTTTGAGATAATTTTTTTGAACCAAATTATCCCTTAAATAAAATTATGTAGTTTTGAGGGTTAGACCTTAATTTGATGATGTGATCGTTTATAATTTCAAATTAAACCCAATCAAAATGTGACAACAAACCCGATTTTATTCACAAATAAAAATAAATAAATAAATGAAAATGGGAAAAAGTGTATAGAATTGAAGTGGCAGTTATAACCTTTCCTACCCCTCATGCTAGACCCATTTATAATTTCACACACACACACACTCTCTCTACAATATTTCTCTCTTTATATCTATTTGCTATCTTTCACTTCTCTCAAACTTTTTGGGTCGCAATGACGGTGTGCTTCAGCCTATGAATTATTCAAATTCCAATCACAATTCTGAATTTTTTTAGTTCCACTTGCGAACACAAATTTTTAGCTCCACAGGTGGACACCAATTTTTTTTCAAACATGGGCGTTGTGAAAAAGATCAACTGTAATATATATATATATATATATATATATATATATAGACATTATTTATATAAGGGTGTGTTTGGGATATTTAAAAGGTGTTTGGATTTAATAGTTATAATAAGGGACAGTAGTGTCTTTATAATAAGGGATAATTTGGTCCAAAAAATTATCTCAAAAATTTATTAAATGACCATCGGTTAGAATACCTCTCCAAGATAGTTGAAGGGTTTGTTTTTTATAACTGAGTAATAGTTGAAGGAAATTTTTTACAATTTATCCTTTTTATTATTATTATTATTATTTTCCAGAAGACGCATCCCACACCTTACCAATGAGATTAATCCGCTCAAGGGATACATTTTTATTATTTCACAAAGTATATAATGGTTATTAAAACATGTACAAAAAGTAAATAAGAATAATAACAAAAAAAAAAAAAAAAATTTACACACATAATAGCATACAAGTGTACCAATGCTCTCTGGGCACTCCTATTTTAACTAAATTTTAAATTTTAAATTTTGTCGTTTTCGCACTTTCACTCTAGTTCGCTCATGTTCTTACTCCACTTGACTTAAGATCTACCAGAATTCCAAATTAATTGGGAAATGCCAGTCGTTGAATCGAAGAATTAGTTAAAGATACCAATATATATATATATATATATATATATATATATATATATATATATATAGATATAGATTTCTTTTTTATTTTTATACCATTGAAAATGACAGTTGAAGTTGCATGGTTCAAGCCATTTGATGCGCGCAATAATGTGATATGAGACGGCATTGCAGTGATGACGCTTAATCTCAATTTATATCAATAGGTAAAACAAAAATAAAATAACAAAAGAAAGTAGGACAACTTTAAATCACAGTGGCAGTCCATAATTGATTAATATATACCATTTTCAATTTTCTTAATCTTGAAAATGATGTGTTTGTGGCCAATATTATAATTATATAACTCACTCTCTTCCAAAAATTGTGGGGGGCGTTTGAAAGTTCCAACTTTTTATGTTCGGTTTTTTTAATTTAAGTCCTATTATTTTATATAGGTTTTGATATTGATTTCTTTTTTAAAAAGTATTAAAGATTGATCTTATTTTTAAACTATTTCCTAAATAACATTAATGTTAAGAGTGCTTCTTTTAAAAATTTCAAAACTACCCAAGTTATTTTCTTCCAAACCTAGTCACAGTCAGAACCCACCTTTGTCTTTGTCTATATTTATGTCACCACTGACCATTGTACCAACTATTAATATATTTTATTATATTAATAAGCGTGAATATTTAAATTTATTTTTAACAAAAGACAAAATAGTATTCGATAATGAGTGCCTTTGTTTAATCAAGTTAATGTCAAAAAAATAAATTGGAAATGTCATTAAAAAAATAGTAGATTCATTTTTAAAATATGATATGTATTTTGAGACATCACAAAATAGAAAGATAGACAAATTTTTTGATATATACCAACCGTTCATATATATGTGTGTGTGTGTGTATATATATATATATATAGTTATATGGTGATGTAGAAGAAGCATGAGAGAGAGAGAGAGAGGGGCATGAACCATCTCTGGTGTTAAGCTTAAAAAGGAAGAGCATGTATCATGCATGTTTCTTATTGAGTAGAAACAAATTAAGGAGTCGTTGTCTGCTCAACTAACACCAACTCTTCCCATTTTTAGTGAGGGCAAAAGGATGGCTTCGATTTTAAAAAGAGTAAAATTTTTAAGATAAGGAAAAAAAGTGGTTGGTCTCATCATAATAAAGTATGGACTTCACAGTATGAGCTTCTATTAATTCTCATCTTGTTCGTCTGCGTTTCCATGGAATCTTATGTCAATTTGACCCAGTCCGTCTTTCTCTTAATAAAAAGGGTTTAATTCTATTCTAATGTGAGCCGTGTTCCATCACACGATTTTGGTGAGGCACGCCCCACTCGCGCAATACCAAATCAGTGTCCTCAAAATTTCGATTCATGTATCATTTTTCATAAATTCTTGAATTTGTTTATTATTTCATTTAGTTATTTGATTGTACCTAATGGGGTACTTTTTTTCGTAGAATAATTTAGAATAGGAGTATTTTTAGGTAGTGTTTGATAAAAATTAAAAATTAAGTATTTGAATTTTTAAAAAGTAATTAAAAAATAAATATTTTTTAATTTTCAGCATTCAGTATTAATTATTAAGTGATAAGGAATGTCTCTATCACTTAAGGGGTCGTTATCATTTATTATGTTAACATTTTTAGTAATATTCAAATTACATTATCAAACACACTTAATTGAATAATTGTTTAATCCCTTCACAATTAATTTCACAATTAATTACTAAATTGAGTTTTCAAATAACACTACTTATTTATGTACAGTTAACATCTCTACTTGTTGTTCTTATACTAGATTTTAGTTTCAGTACATTTTTAAGAATATATCCAAAAATAATATGAGAAAAATAAATTAAAAGAAAATTAGTTAATGGCTGATAAATAAAGTTATCAATTTTTGAGTATTTTTTTTCTCCTCCCTTTTAAATCAAAATACATACATACATACATACATACGAGTCTGTAAATAGAGTGCCAATATGTTGTAAAAATGATTACAACACTTTTTTTTATTATTAAATTTGAATTTTTAAAAGCTAAAGTAAAGTCTTTGAAGGGTGTCACAAGCAATTTCATTCAAAATCCATCAGTAATTATCATAGGTAACTATAAATGAAATCTACAGAAATAGGTAACTATAAATGAAAACTTAAAAAATTTTGGGAGTCAAACTTCAATTTTCCTATAAAAAATGACATTTAATTACTATAAATAAGTACCATTTATAGTGTTTTAATAAAATTTTGGGGAAGGGGGTATACAAAATTATTATTAATAATTATTAACTATAATAATTTTTTACTACTCGTTGAAATTTATAAGAAATCTAAAATCTCAAATAGGAGTTATAGGCTCTGATTGGTTCAGCCTTTTTTTTGTTTTTTTTTTTTTTTCACACAAAAGTCTTTTTTTAATTTTTTCTAAGCATGCCAATAATAGCACGGTATTGTTTTCAAGTTTTTAATGTCTACATCTGTTTATATACATTTTTTGGTTTATATATATATATATATATATATTTGGGTGAAACGTTGACTCGTCTTCTCTTACCATAGTATTTGGTATAATGGAAGACTCCTTAATTGTTTTCATTTTTATGACAAAACAAGGTTAATGTATGCATGTTGAAGAAGCTACATTACTGTCCCTCCACTATAAATAGAGGACAGAGGTGAAAGAAAGACAGTATTAGCTGTGGAAGAGAGAGAGAGAGAGAGAGAGACATCTAGAGAGAGAGAGAGAGAGATGGGAAGTGTGCAGCAGCAAACTCAGCAGTCCGGAAGGAGTAACCGCATCATAGCTGTTGAAGGAACTCCACCCTCCATTACAAGTTACAACAACAAAGAACATGATCACGAGTCTCAAATGCACCAGGTCTCTCTCTTTATCAAGTTATATATATATATATATATATATTGAGAACATATATATATCTAAATATCTTTCAATGTGTTTCTTGATCATTAGAAATCTGGATGGAGAAACTTTCTATCTTATGTAGGCCCTGGGTTCCTTGTATCTTTGGCTTATCTTGATCCAGGGAATTGTAAGTCTCTCTCTCCTCTTTGTGTTTTAGTCTCATGAGATTTGTTTATCTAGTAGATAACAAATATTATATAAAATCATGTCACAGTGGAAACTGATTTGCAAGCTGGAGCTAACCACAGATATGAGGTAACTTGCAAATTCAGATAAAAAAATATATATATTTATTTTCTTTTTATGTGTGGGTACTAAGGGGGCTATAGAGAAAATAGATTATTAAGGACAATCGTTTTTGTTTCATGTTTTTTTTGTGTTTGTCAAATAAGTAAAAAATAAAAATATCATAAAAGCATGTTTGATAACATTTATTATCTTTTGCATAATTTACTCGCTTGCTTCAAAAAAAAAAAAAGAAAAATCAAATCAAAAAAATATATTTTCAATTACTTTTGTTGCTCTAGCTGACAACTTCTAATAAATTTTTTTCATGAATTTTTCTATTGCAGCTATTGTGGGTAATCCTTATTGGATTGATCTTTGCTCTTATAATTCAATCACTTGCAGCAAATCTTGGTGTAAGCACTGGTAAGACATGCACAAGACCTTTAGCTAAACTAACTATAATATATATATATAATTAATTACTAAATTATTTTTCTTTTATTTCCAAGGCAAGCACTTATCAGAGTTATGTAAGGCGGAGTACCCAAAATATATCAAGTATTGCCTGTGGTTGCTGGCTGAGGTTGCTGTCATAGCGGCTGATATTCCTGAAGGCATGACCTCTACCTTATCTAAAAATTATCATAGTACATTTATATAAGTATACTGTATACTGGGATGGTAAAATGGGTCTGGAATTATCAATTCGTTCATATTCGTCCGCATTGTAATAGTTATGGGTGAATCATATTTATTTTGAAGGTCAAGATGGGTTAAGTAATTTTTAACCACTTAATTTGAAGATAAGATCATATTCAACTCATACTTATTCAACTCATATTTCACTAATCACATAATAAATACACAACACACATTTATTTTATATTGCACTCAATTCATTTCCCTCTCTAAAACTCTCTCACTCACAATCCTCTCTCTAAATTTGTCTCTCATCAATTCCCTTTCTCTAAGTTTCTCTTTTTAAAAATTTCTTCTAAAAAAAATAAATAACTAAAAAATAATAAAAATAATTTAAAAATAAAAAATTTTAAAACCTATCGAAAAAAAATAATTTTAAAATAAAAATAATTAAAAAAAATTTATAAAAAAATTAAATAATAAAAAATTTAAAAACGATTAAAAAAATTAAAAATTAAAAATAATAATTATTTTTATTGTATATAATATTAGACAACTAATTATTTTGCAAATGAATAGTAATTTTAGGAAATATTATTTTAATGTAATTTAGAAAACTACCCAAAAAAAAAATTAGTAAACTTAGGTGACATGATTACAAAACGTAGATTTATTGATATATTAGGACAAAAAACAAAGAAAACAAAGATTAATGTTCATTAACGGTAATTGATACTAAATCTAATCAAAATCAATGTGGGATGAAGTAAATATATTTGTTAAAATTAAATATAAAGGGAGACATGTCATGTTTAAAAAAATAAAAAAATAAAAAATTTCAAGATAAAAATAATAAATATATAAAAACTCAAGTGGCCGGTCCAAAAACAAAAGTAAAAAAAAGAGGTCACATCACCCAATTTATAAAACTAATGGAACGCTTATTAATTGTCATTTTGGTGTACCCACACATGTGCTGATTTTGCTGTTTAGGTGATGAGTTAACTTTTCCAGTTTTATTATTAAAAGCAAGAACTTAAAAAGCTTTACATCTAATTTGTAGTTAAGCTAAAAATTAAAAAAGAAAATAGTATTGCTATTTCGTAAGGACAATGAGAAGGAAGGCGACTTGGACCATGTGTTTCTCCTTCAACCAGTGATGCACCTACCAAAAATAAATTTTCATTATTTTTCTGAAAATATAAAAAAAAATTAAAAAATAAATAATAATTAATGGGTCCACGGGTCATAACAGATTGACCCTGTCCATTTTCAACCCGTTCTGAACGGGTTGAATATGAATCTTGACCCATGTTGACTCGTTCATTTTTAACCCAACCCAAACCCGATCCAACCCGCCTATTTACCACCTCTATATATATGTGTGTGTGTGTATATATATATATATGTCTATCATGCTACCATATAACATAATTTTTTGTATTTTCCATGTGGCAGTGATTGGGACAGCATTTGCACTAAATATATTGTTCCATATCCCAGTTTGGGTTGGGGTTCTCCTCACTGGTTTGAGCACTCTCCTGCTTCTTGGCCTCCAGAGATATGGGGTAATATAATTCATTTCAAATGGGCATCTTTTGCATGATATTAGTGGTCACAACTTTTTGCTTATCACCCCACCAAAAAGGAAAAAATTAAAAATAGATTTTTTAAAAATAGAAATGTTGATTGGTCAAAACTTTCCAACTAAATATTAAAAATACTATTTAGTATAAATTTATGGTACAAAATATACATTATTCTAACATATAATGGACTATGTGTGTGTATATATATATATAGGTGAGGAAGCTAGAAATGTTGATAGCAGTGTTGGTGTTCGTGATGGCTGCATGTTTCTTTGGAGAAATGAGTTACGTGAATCCTCCAGCAAAAGATGTACTCAAAGGAATGTTTGTCCCTAAGCTCAGTGGTCAAGGTGCCACCGGTGACGCCATCGCTCTCCTCGGTGCCCTCGTCATGCCGTGAGATCTCCATCATCTCTTTGTATAAATATAAGCCAAACTATGGGCCAGAAAGGGTCTGATTTTTTCCATTTTCTAAAGATTGCCCTGAAAATTAGACTTATAAAATAAAAAACTGTCCAATACTCACAAAATTTTTCATTTTTCAGCTTAATTTTTTTGAAAATACTTTTCGAAAACTGTCAAACAAACTAATCAAATCTTAGATTTAATGCTTCATGAGATACTATATCCAGTGACTAATCACTTGAGCCAAACCATTGAATTTCAGACCCTTGACTTTCTACCAATAGTGAATTTTAAAGTACTGATAAGACTGAAAATATGGCCTCCCATAACTTTAAAAAGAATCTCAATTCGAGTCTTTTTTTAGTCTTATTTTTGAAACTCTAGACTTCCAAAAAAAAAATAATAATAAGAAACAAACAAACAAAAATAAATATATATATAAAAAACTAATTTCTTTGCTATTTTTCTCATTTATGCACTTCTTTATTTAAGAAGTATTCTTAATTTTAGAAAAAAAAAAAAAGTATTCTTAATTTATAAATAATCTTCTTAAATATGCTTTAAGCAAAATTATGTTTTTTTTTTTTTTGACAATCGGAGTGTTTGGGAATTTGCCCCGACTAATTCATAGAACCCGACACAAATTGGGTAAGGCTCTCGAACTATGTCCGCGGTCGTGACCCCAAAGAATTATTTGCACATAGGAGAAATCGAATTTGAGACCTAAAGTTTCATGAAGCTTCAGCGTCCAAATCTTTTCCAACTAGGCCAACCCCCATGGAGTTTAGGCAAAATTATGTTCTATCAAGGAAAAAGAATTAACCTTCCTCATTTAAGAAATACTCATAATTTATAAATAATTTTCTTAAACCTACTTTGAGCAAAACTCTGTTCTATCAAGGGAAAATAAGAAATTCTCTTAATTTATAAATAATCTTCTTAAATCTAATTTCACTAAAATTCTGTTCTGTCAAGGATAAAAAAAAATTAACTTTAATTTGATAATGCTAATTCAACAATTACAAGTAAATTTTTTTGGATTCATCCAATATGGAATAACATATGTCACTTGTGCTTTTCTACTAATATACATTTGTTTTCATGTTCAACAGCCATAATCTTTTCCTCCACTCAGCTCTTGTACTCTCTCGGAAGATACCCAACTCGGTCCGAGGCATCAATGTAAGACAACTGCTTAAAACATCTCTGCGTTTGCTTACTCAAAAATAATAATAATAAATGTCTATGTTACATACATGCTACACACGTAATACATCCACAAAATAAAATAAAAAAAACACACATTAATATATATATATATAGGGCTCTAAATACATATACAGAATACAGATGTTAAATACTGATTGAAAGAATTCCTCACCATACCTACTACTTAGTTATTTGTTTATTTGCATCCCAAGAAGTGCATTGATGAAATGAGTCTTTGGCACTGTTCTCAGTGAACAATCATAAAAGCAAAAGAATCCGAAACCAAAACAAAATAAACACCCTTGCATTGAAAACATAACACAATTTCTTTCAGAATTGAACACTCGTTACTTGGAAAATAAAAATAAAAATGTTCACTACGTTATTCTTAAAGTAATGTGTGTTACATTATCGAAGTAACAGGGTTAGAAAATGCACATCAAAATATATAAAAAATTGTTTTCAAGAAAGATGACAATGGGAAACGTCTGTGGGACCACTTGATGTCATAAAGTCATGTACCAACAAATTTATACGACATCAGAGGTGGACTCTAAGTAACATAAGAGCAAAAATCAGAGTGAGATCGAATTCGAGAGTGAGAACGTGTAAGTGACAAAATTAAATCATAAATAATGAGAATTTGAACGAAAATACACGTGAAGTATGAAAATAAAAGTGCGCTCAGAATATGAGAGTGACACTCGTTGATAATGATTGTATCACTTATGTTAGACTAGATGTAGTCCAATTGTACTTTCTCATGTTTCAAAATAGGAGGTTGGGAGCTAAAGTCATCTACCATCAAATTTATACCCCGTATGACATAATAGTAAGACTAGCTATAGTTTGGTGATACTTTTTGCTATTTAAAATAGAAGGTTGGAGGTTGAAATATTTATAGGGACAAGTGAGTCTGAGTGTATTTTTTGTAAAATAAAAAATTAGACTAGCTCCATGTATAGTTCAAAATGTCACGAGGGCTAGCTCGACCCTTAAGCAAGTTAGACAGTCGCCTAAAGCGTCAGCCAATAGAAAGATTCCAAAATTTTTATTTTCATATATTATAAAATTCCTAAAAAATTTATTTCATTGGAATTGAGAGATTTAATAATGGGTCAAAAATATTTGTATACTTATTTGAATTTTTTTTTTTCTCTCTCATGATCATTCCATGTTTTTTATTCTCATCTATTAATATCATTGCACCAACTTTAATTATTAACTATGTTTTTAATGGGAATTGGTGAAACTATCAATATTCTCCTCTATCATTATGCCTAATTTTTTCCGTTATTTCTCAACCTCTCTGTTACAATGTCTCCCTCCTCTCTCGTTACAACTTCTTTTCACTTCTTCACTCATCACAATCTCACTCTATCTCAGATTCTGAACACACTTTTCTTTGCTGAATTTTTTTGGATCGTTTCATCGGTTTTTTCTAAATTTAGTTCTATTGTTCCTTACCCCTTAAATTATCATAAAATTGTATATTTTGTTTCTAAGTTGTGACAAATTATCTGTTGGCTAAATGGATTATAACTATATTATCTATTGAAAAAGATACTATAACAAAACTTGAATACAAGAATTTAATTAGTAACTTTGCATCTCCAAAAGTAGGAAGGATAATTTTTTAATAAACATTACTAACGATTATTTGATATAAAAATTATTTTTATATTTTTTGCCAAAGACCTCAAGTTAAACTGAGCCACCCCTAAATATCTATTTGGCCCAAGCCATGTAATGCATCACTCGGACAGTGGATAGTAATAGACATCCGTCAAATTCAGACACTTGTTTATATATATATATATATATATATTTTTTTTTTTTTCTTTTCCTTTTTCACTCAGTGAAGATAGACACATACAGTGTAAATAAATGTAAATTTACTCACTTTTCTCTTAATTTTAATGCAGGATGCGTGTCGATACTTCTTAATAGAGAGTGGATTCGCACTCTTTGTAGCTTTTTTAATCAATGTCTCTGTTATATCTGTCTCGGGTACTGTTTGCTCAGCCAAGAACCTCACCAAAGAAACCGTGGATCAATGCAATAATCTCAACCTCAACTCTGCTTCTTTTCTTCTCAAGGTCTAAAAATTATTCTCAAGTTGGTCAAAATTTAGTTACATAGTCAAACTTGAAACAAATTTTTAACAAAATAGTTTCGTTCTTGTTTTGCAGAATGTCTTAGGAAAATCGAGCTCTACTGTTTATGCCATTGCATTACTAGCCTCCGGCCAGAGTTCCACAATCACAGGCACTTATGCGGGACAATTTATCATGCAGGTTTTCAAAATTAAGCATTAATATCATTATATATTGCAGTTGATGTTGTCGAAACCTATTACATTTTATATTTGGTGGTGAAATGTCTAGGGTTTCTTGGACCTTAAAATGAGGAAATGGTTGAGGAATCTCATGACTAGGTGCATTGCCATTACACCTAGTCTCATTGTTTCGATTATTGGTGGATCTCAAGGAGCTGGCCGACTCATTATCATCGCATCGGTTTGTTAACTGTCTAAACGTTTTTATTTTACATTTAGGCTCCGTTTGTTTCGACGTAAAATATTCTTTTTAAAAAATATTTTTTTTTTTTCAAATAAAATATTCTTTTATTTTTATTTTGTCCGTACTTGGCAAAGGTCTACGTTAAGGTTGAGGTCAAATCTAGCATATAAAATAACTTGCCGAAAATTAATGAATAAGTTATTTTTGTTAAATTTTAATATTTTTTTCTTCGTAAACATTTTACGACAATCAAACACCAAAAAATTTTTAAAAAAAATTTTAAAAAATATTTTACGTTCAAACGGAGCTTATTTTTACTTAATCATTATCGAACAAATATATATATATATATATATATATATATATATATTATTTTAATTCTGATGGGTTTAATTTGCAGATGATACTCTCATTTGAACTTCCATTTGCTCTCATCCCACTTCTTAAATTCAGTAGCGGTAGCACCAAAATGGGACCACACAAGAACTCCATATACGTAAGTTAATTCTACTTTTGCAGGTGATACCATTCTGGCCTTTTCAGCTCAAGATTTGGCTTGTGTAGTCAATCTTTATTACATTGTCCCGATCAATTATGAAAAAAAAAAAAATTTTGATTGACAATGACATAAAGTTATAGCTTCATGATTGGTCGATACCAATGATCTTGAATTGCTTGTGAGCCAATATGGAATGGATATTTCGGATAAGTAGAAGTCTTAAGGCCGGCAAGGCCTATTAAATAGTGGCCCATTTTCAAGTAAAACTTAAAATAAAAATAGCTAACAAAATTTAAATTAAATCAGAACTTCATTTATTTTTCTTAAATTAAATCAGAACTTCATTTTAAGCTGACCATTTCAAGTTCAAACTTGTGAATGTAGATCATTGTGTTCTCATGGATACTGGGCCTCGGAATCATTGGCATCAACATATATTACTTGAGCACCAGCTTCGTCGGATGGCTAATTCACAGCAGTTTACCAAAAGCAGCAAATATATTCATTGGAATTATAGTGTTTCCACTCATGGCAATCTATATATTGGCTGTTATATATTTGATGTTTCGAAAAGACACAGTAGTGACATTCATCGACCCAAATGCCCAATCGCACATTGAGAATGGGCATGGCAACACGGAGGAGATGACAGAATTGGACCGCGTCCCTTACAGAGAAGATTTGGCTGACATTCCACTCCCTCAGTAGAAATTTTCATATTTCGATATCTTGCTCAGTCTCTCTCTCCCAATATCGATCCTTTATAGGATCATTATCTTTTCATTGAATTTTTTGTTATGAAGCTTGTTAGAAATTAAACTTGATTATATTTTAAAATGTCTTTGAAGGTTATGGATGTTTTTTATTTGATGTTTAATTTTATATTTATGTGAGTTTTTTATTGGAGTTAGTGGGGGGCATAAGAGTTACAACTAGTAATGGTCGTATTAGTGGGTTGGTGGGAGTTTTGCTTACTAAATGTTATGTTAATTGAGTGTTAATTTTCATTTACATTTATGCTTTGAAGTCTATATAAACCCATGTATTTTACCCATTTTTAATCAAGTAAAGTAAAAGTGTTTTTCCTCCATTTTTATTCTCTTCCAAATAGTATAGTGTTGTGTGTGTAACTAAGCCACTATTTCCAACAAAGTGGTATCAGAGCTAGTTTGTGAGAGAGAGAAGAAATGGCAAACAATTCAGTTCCATTTCAAATGCCTCGATTCACTAAAGCTAACTATGAAAATTGGTGTATCCGTACGAAGACAATTTTGGGAGCACAAGATGTGTGGGAAGTTATTTCCAAAGATTATGACGAGCTAGAAGATGAGGCAACTTTGTCTCAAGCCGAAAAAGATATTTTACAAGCCATAAGAAAGAAGGACCAAAAGGCAGTGATGATCATCCATCAATGTTTGGATGATGGAATGCTACAAAGAGTTGGTAGGGCAGAAAATGCAAAGCAACTATGAGAGATTCTTCAAAATTCCTTCCAAGGAGTTGATAAAGTGAAGAAGGTTCTCCTCCAAACATTACGGGGTGAATTTGAAGCATTGCATATGACGGAATCTGAATCAATTTCAGATTATTTTTCGAAGGTCCTGGCTATTGTAAATCAACTAAAAAGATATGGCGAAACCACCATGACTGATACAAGGGTCGTTGAAAAGATCATTCGGTCGTTGGATTTCAAATTCAACTACATTGTTGTAGCCATTGAAGAGTCAAATGATTTGGATTCCATGACTGTTGATCAACTCATGGGTTCGTTGCAAGCTCATGAAAAAAAGGTGGTGAAGAAACAAGAAGCTTTAGAGCAAGTGCTACAAACAAAGTTTTCGTTGAACGAAAAAAGAAGAAAAACATGGAGGAAATCAAAAGGTCCGAGGACATGGAAATGCAAGTGGCCGAGGAAGAGGAAGAGGCCGTGGAAGAGGAGAAATCAACACACAACTAACAATGAAGAAAAAGTCCAAGACTCACAACAAATAAGTGGTCGTGGTAGGAAATTACTCAAGGTCATATGGAAGGATGTATGATAAGTCTCAAATTCAATGTTACAATTGTCAAAAGTATGGTCATTATGCTTCGGAGTGTAGAAATGTTGCTAATAATGTTGAAGAAAGGGCTAATTATGTTAATGAAGAAGTGGAGCCTACTTTGTTGTTGGCATACAAAGGTGAAAGGAGTGAAGAAGATGTGTGGTATCTTGACACCGGTGCTAGCAACCATATGTGTTGTAGCAAAGAGAAGTTTGCTGATATTAATGAATCAATAAATGGCAAAGTGACATTTGGAGACTTATCACAAATTTCGGTAAGAGGGAAAGGTAAAATATTGATTCATTTGAGAAATGGGCATCATCAATTTATCTCTAATGTTTATTATGTGCCTAAGATGAAGAATAATATTTTGAGTTTGGGACAACTCTTAGAAAAAGGCTACAATATTTCCATGAAGGATTGTAGTCATTTGATAAGAGACCCATTGGGTAATTTGATTGCCAAGGTTCCAATGACAAAAAAACTGGATGTTTTTGCTAAATATTCAAACCAACGAGGCTAAATGTTTGAAGGCTTGTTTTAATGATTTAACTTGGTTTTGGCACTTAAGACTTGTGCACTTGAATTTTGGAGGATTAGAGTTGTTAGCCAAAAAGAAGATGGTGAAGGGATTGCCTTTCATTAGCAATCCAAATCAATTATATGAAGGATATCTAGTTGGAAAGAAATCAAGGAAATTTTTTCTTAAAGAAGCTACCATAAGAGCTACGTCGCCACTACAACTTATTCATTCGGATGTTTATGGTCCAATTTCTCCATCATTATTTGGTAAGAATAATTATTTTTCATTATTCATTGATGATTTTAGCCGAAAAACATGGGTGTATTTTCTTAAACAAAAATTGGAAGTGTATAGAATTTTTAAGAAATTTAAAGCACTTGTTAAAAAACAAAGTGGCTATAATGTAAAGGCTTTTCGATCCGATAGAGTTTGTAAATTCACATCAAATAATTTCAAAAAATTTTATGAAGAAAATGGAATTCACCATCCTTTAACGGTTCCGAGATCGCCCCAACAAAATGGAGTTGTAGAAAGGAAGAACAGAACCTTTCTCAATATGGCTTGAAGAATGTTGAAAAGCTAGGAAATGCCTAAAGAATTTTGGGCTAAAGCGATTGGTTGTGCAGTGTACTTGTCTAACCGGTGTCCTACTAGAAGTGTGCAAAACAAAACACTACAAAAAACATGGAGCGGAAGAAAGCCAAGTGTCTCTCATTTGCAGGTTTTTGGGACCATTGCCCATGTGTACGTGTCGGATGAAAGGAGGACTAAGTTAGACAACAAAAGTGAAAAAATGGTGTTCATTGGCTATGATGCAAGTTCCAAAGGTTACAAGTTGTACAATCCAAGCAATTGGAAGATTATCATTAGTAGAGATGTTGAATTCGAAGAGGGAGCCACATGGGATTGGAATACTCCAAATGAATATTATAATATTTTTCCAATTTTGGATGAGGAGCAAGAAAATGAAGGCATGGATCGGCCCATTTCTCCACCAACATCACCTCTACCACCATCAATTCAAGATCAATCAACTCCATCATCATCAAGTTCAAGTGACACACCACCACTTTGCAAGAGGAGTATTCGTGATATATATGACGAAACAGATGAGGTAACGGAATGCCGCCCAAAATTGACTATGATGAGGTATTTGTACCCGTAGCTCATTTGGAAACAATTAGATTGTAAATTTATTTGGCAGCCCAAAACAATTAGAGAATCCACCAAATGGATATGAAATCGGCTTTCTTGAACGGGTTTCTTGAAGAAGAGGTGTATGTTCAACACCCCATGGGCTATGTTGTAAAAGGGCAAGAAAACAAAGTCTTAAAATTGAAGAGGGCTTTATATGGCTTGAAGCAAGCACCGAGGGCATGGAATAAGCGAATTGACAAATATTTTCAAGACAATAATTTTTCAAACTGCCCATATGAACATACGCTTTACTCCAAAGTAAGTGAGAATGGAGATGTATTTTTTGTTTGCTTGTATGTGGATGATTTAATCTTCATAGGTAGTAATCCAAAAATGTTTGAAGATTTCAAAAAGGTTATGACTCGAGAGTTCGAGATGACGGACATTGGCATCATAGCTTATTATCTTGGCATTGAGGTTAAGCAAATGAAGAATGGAATTTTCATTCACCAAGAAGGCTATGCTAAGGAAATTCTCAAGAAATTCAAGATGGAAGATTGTAAATTGGTGAACACACCCATGGAAGTTGGAATTAAATTGTCGAGAAATGAAGATGGAGAGACGGTGGATCCAACATTTTTCAAAAGTCTTGTTGGATGCTTTAGATACTTAACATGCACAAGGCCGGACATATTATTTGCAGTTGGGCTTGTTAGTAGGTTTATGAAAAGACCCACTATAACTCATTTCAAGGCGGCTAAGAGGACTCTTCGTTACATCAAAGGTACCCTTGATTTTGGGTTATTCTATTCATTTGCTAATAATTTCAAGCTTGTGGGCTATTGTGATAGCAATTGGGCCGGAGATTTGGATGATAGAAAAAGTATTTCGGGCTATTGTTTTTTCATAGGAAATACTGCTTTTACATGGTGTTCAAAGAAGCAACCCATTGTCACTCTCTCAACTTGTGAAGCAGAATATGTTGCAGCCACTTCATGTGTTTGTCAAGCAATTTGGTTAAGGAATTTGTTGAAAAAATTACACATGCTACAAGAAGAGTCAACGGAGATTTTTGTGGACAACAAATCAGCAATTGCTTTGGCCAAGAATCCAGTGTTTCATGAACAAAGCAAGCATATTGATACAAGATTTCATTTTATTAGAGAATGCATAACCAAGAAGGAGGTGGAACTCAAGTTCATCAAGTCATAAGATCAAATTGCAGATATTTTCACCAAGTCCCTCAAGTTTGCAGAATTTCACAAGTTAAGGAGTTTGCTTGGAGTTGAAAAAAAATCACGTTTAAGGGGGGGTGTTAGAAATTAAACTTGATTATATTTTTAAATATCTTTAAAGGTTATGGATGTTTTTTATTTTATGTTTAATTTTATGTTTATGTGAGTTTTTTTGTGGAGTTAGTGGGGGGCATAAGAGTTACAACTAGTAATGGTCATGTTAATGGGTTAGTGGGAGTTTTGCCTACTAGATGTTATGTTAATAGGGGGTTAATTTTCATTTACATTTATGTTTTGATGCCTATATAAACCCATGTATTTTAGCCATTTTTAATCAAGTGAAATAGAAGTGTTTTTCGTCCGTTTTTATTCTCTTCCAAATAGTATAGTGTTGTGTTTATTACTAGGCCACTATTTCCGACAAAGCTCTCAATAAGACAGCTAAAATTGTTTTAGCACTACTGTCAATTTATCACAACATGGCAATATGATATGATGAATCAGCATGTTGGTATGGAAATTACTGCATTACTAGCTAGTTTGTATCGGGGTTAAGTTGTAAGATACATGTTTAATAATGTTGAACCTTTGTATAATTAATTGAGTAATCAGAAGAAAATTATATATGATAATGAAATAGATGAATAAAAAAACACTTTTAACTTATTTTATAGATAATATACTATGATTTCTACTTATATCACTATATAATCAGTTTCTATAAAACATAATGTGACAACAAAGCTCTTCCATGTGCAACTATGGTCTTCT